GGTGGCAGCACAGTAAGTGGGTTCGTGACATTTAAATAATACAAATACTGAATAATTGAATGGCATTTTATTAATGAATAATCCATAATAGTACTTTTAAAAATGTACATGTTAAAATGTACTTTTAAATAAAAAAAATATTGCAGCATTAATTTTAAAAATACAGAGTTCAATAATTATGCAAAAAATAAAGTGTTAGTCTTTTTACAACATCTGTCTCTTGCAGTTGAGTGGACTGTGAATTAAAGCGCCCAATTCACATTCAATTTCCTATCTAGGACTCGGCCAATGACCCATCTTGGGTGGAAAAAATGTAGTAGTACCGCTTCATTGGAATTTCAGCAGCGGCCGTCGAATGGACAGACTTATCCCCGACCACTGGTAGAGCAGAAAAAAACAAGTACAATACAGCAATATTGATGTTACGGCATATATTGGGCAGGGCAATAGTACCGTAGTTAGCACGCTGTTATGAACCTGCTGGTCTGAGTTCGGTTCTTGGCCATGGCAAACATTAGTGAGGCGGGTGATACCAGAACCGGTCCTTACCTTTTCCTCTTCACCTACCCGCCCTTACCAGCGTGGTTGAATTATTGTAATACAAAAATAAAACATGCGCTTATTGTGTGGGAGAGACATTCATCCTGCTGTGGAGTGGAAAATAGAAAGCGAATTTCTTGTGTTTAGTTTGTTGTCCTTCCCCCACACCTCCGATTAGCACGGTTAGCTACGTACCTTGTGAAATAACTTCAACATACTTCCATGTAAAAGGGCTGTACATTTACTATTGCAGAGTTCAAAGCGTCGCTGAGTCTCAAGAATATTTTCAGAAGGGTGCTGTTACATTGGCATGTTTGGCCAATTCAATTCCACGATCGTTTGGTTTCATGGTCCAAAGTTGCCATATAAAACAAATTACACCACAATTAGTCGATTGCCATTATATAGTACAGTGCATAGCAACCATCGCACCCCTGTTGTGAAAAGGTGGCAAGACCCGCCTGCAATAGAGTCATGAGGATCGGTTAGGCTTGCCTGGGTAAATAAGCGTCGTAATTAGGATTTTACCAGAAACTGAACGATATGGAGAAAACCAAATCACGCAGTTGAGGGGATAACACGTCAGGGTCTGCACACATGGGTTTACTAATCAATTATTGAATATATTTTTTTATTTGGTCAAATATTATTTACCAAACAAAACCTAAGTATATATGGGTTTTAAATCTATCGAGCTGGATCTAAACAGAATACTGTAAAGAAAAGGTAACTTGATGGTACAGAAAAACTGTATCTGCTATTTTTATTTGCTGGAAAGGGACAAAAATACAAACCAGTTGTGGGCACGCATGTGGCCTTGGGAGATAGCGCAATTATTTTTGAGGATGAGCAGACCTAGTTGTAGTTGGATCTGCTTGCCAATTATCCACTGAGAAAGCAGCCAACAGTTGAACTCCAGCTGCAGTTGCTCAGTCCTGCGATCAGGGCCAGATTAAGGCAAGGGGGCTTTAGGGGCTACAGCCCAGGGACCTCCGCCAGCTGGAGGGCCTCCAGAGATTAAGTGAAAAGTTATTTCACTTGTGAATGCTGAATTTTATTTGGAGGCCTTGTAGAAATAAATTGTATGTTTCTTTAGCTTTTTTTCCTTTTGAAAATACTACTGGGGGCCTCTCAATACCTTTAACCCAGGGGCCTACACATTTTTAATCCGGCCCTGCCTGCGATAGTTACAGCGAGATGATTACAAAAAAAGCATTAATCTAAATCAGCACAAGCCTCCTGTAAATCACATGACCTGTGTGGCCACTCTGAATCCCTCTCATATATTTATATATCTCTGTCCAGTCCCAGGGCTTGAACTCATGATCTCAGCAGTTCTGGTTCAGTGGCTCCGACATTGCTACAATATAATTTGTGATGGCCAGGTCGCTTCTGAGAGAGAGAAAAAAGCGCTATATAGCTCAATGGACCTTAACTGGTCAAATAAAACTAAAACTTTGGTTTAGTTCGTTTGGTAATTCAGAGAGACGCCCAGACGCAAGGCTCGTCAGTGTCATGGGACGTGACCATCACGGACCCAGTGAACGGCTGGCGCCGTATTGCACAGCGGTTGTGCAATGCACGTGTTGCACAAGTGGCGCGTGGCCGTCATGGTGCGCTGTTGCTGTCCCCGCCGCTATCGCATGTGAACACACATCCTGGGTCGGACCCCCCCCCCCCGGGCCCTGCCACCGCCAGATCACCATGGGCGAGATGCCCTCTCTATTTAACCATGCGAGTGGAACTGTTGCTTGGGCTTCCTCGATTCAACCCATCATCATCGTTATCATCAGGTGTTCACTGTTGGAAAATGAGTGGCGACGTGGAGAGAATGCATGGAGCAGAATTTGAAGAAGAAAAAACACGTTGCTTGAATTGAGATCCAGGGTTTTAGATGAGCCCAAATGCCATCGTCATCGGCTGGCTGCGCAATTGTAACACTCGCGTTTCACCAGAAGAAGCCCCCCCCCTCCCCACCCCCCCCCCCCGTTTTATTCCCGACTCTGGCACCTTTCTGTTTGAGGTGTGTATGTTCTCCCCCTGTTATGCATGGGTTTCCACCCATGTCTAAGAAAAAACTAAAATATACAATGGGACTGGTATTGTTGGACAAGCATCCGAATGCTGAAGAATCTCTATATAAAAAAGGCTAAAGATGTCTGCAACAACTCAGCTGGTTTCCAGTTCCTGGATCGTCTAATTCGGCTCCAAAGAGGAGAAACTATGGAAGAAATATCCATGATGTATTGCTTTGAATTGTGAAATTTTAGCTCTAGAGTATAGCTTTCTTCAGTTGAATTTCCAAGTGTATGAATCTTTTCAGATTTCAATTTTTTACTAAAGATTACATTTAACAACTATTACGTACCTCAGCAAGACACTATGGAGGCAATATCCATGATGTATTTATTTCAAAGTGATATTTAATATTTTGTATATATCTTTTCATATCTTAAATTTTGATTTAAAGCTTTCGTGACTGCAGAGATTAATATTCTTATATGTTCTTTATTTTTGTATCTATCTTCTATCTATAGCTTCTATCTTTAGATACTAATATAAAAAATCGTGAAACGTTATTTAACATCTGCTAGATATGTTACGCCGGGTACAGCTAGTTACCTATGAATTGCTCTATTGGGATTACACACAGATCAACATCACAGTTGTCGCCCCCTACTGCGAAAACTTGGCAGGACCCTCCTAAAAAAAGTATTGACTCAGTAAAACTTAGCTGGGTAAACAAGCGTGATAACAATCCTTCATTATCGGCAGCAGCAGCAATATCAGCGTCTGGGAACTTGCATCTGCATTCGGGTGGCAGGAATTGATTTGTACTGGTGGCATGGTGTTGAACTTGATGACAGTGTTGATAGGCTCAGGCTCACTGGGAAATTTTTGGTCTGTTGAAACAGTGGCAATACTTCCTGCAACATTCAAGTGATCACAAACACATTCCTGCGGAGGGAGCTGGTAGAAACGTTGGGTTGCTCGGTCAATGGCCGGGGTCAACGGCGGCACCACGTGGTGTATTCCGCACAATATGCCCGACTGCGAGGGCGCGCACAAGCCGGTGCGAGTAAGTTAAACGTTGAGTTTTATAAGGGCACCACGGGGTGACCAGCCCCTCTCCACCCAACCCCACCCCTCCCACCCAGCCCCTCCCCACCCTCCCCTCCCCACCCTCCCCTCTCCACCCAGCCCCACCTCTCCCATTTTTGGATGCACGACGGACGGACGGACACAATACTCCTCTGTGGGCTGGTGTAAGCAGGAGGTTATCCTACCAGTATAACATCACTTCCACCACAACCTCTATAATTATTCCCGGCCTGAACATCACCAACATCATCATTATCACCAGCATCGCTATTAGCAACAGCAAAAGCACCTACATCATTACCATCACCACTATCACTGCTACCCTCATCACCAACAATCGTCAACCATTATCGTTAATTCACGGTCGGTGAAATATGTACCACTTTGGGATGGAGGTCAACAGTGGTTTCTCTACGGATGGAATGGCCCTGCCACAAAGACGTGGAATTTACACCGTTGGATCGAACGAGCAGGGAGACATGTGTTGAAGTTTGACATTGCACACAAAAAAACGCTAAATATGTCTATAGCAGCGTAACCCACGTGGTAGAATCTAAACTTCCAGATTAATCGATTAATAACGACTATTGTAGCCACGGACACGCATCGAATATTTTAAAATCGCCTGGGACCACACACGCACACACGACTGTGGAATAATTAGATTCTTAGATCTGAATACCGAAGTGACGAAAGAGATCGATTGATCGAACATATTTCATCGGTCTTGATTTGAAGCTTTCGTGAGCTGCAGGAATCCATACTCTTGGCTCTTTCGGTAAAGTCACGTGATGACGATTACTTGTGTTGGGATCGAAACGTGATTTATTTTCATTTTATACCTACGTGACTTTACCGAAAGAACCAAAGAAGAGTATGGATTTAATCGCCTAGGAATCGTACGGTCAATGGGGGTCATCTTCCCCTTCCGGAAGTCTCCGCCGCTCACTCAACGTCGTATCTTCCAGAAGAGGAAAATATCTTCCGGAAGACGGAAGTATCTTCCGGAAGACGGAAGTATCATCCGGAATAGGTGGGCGGTCTTCCGTCTGGGCACTTTGGCGGCGGCAGACAACTGTCAACTGTGACGTAGGCGGCAGTGACGTCACGCGAGCCGTCGCGAAAACCGAAGCCTCGTTTGATTTTGTTGTTGTTCTAAAGTTTGTCTCGGGCGTGAATCAAAGGATCCTGTTATAAAATAAACGAACGCATAAAATCACAGTTATATATTTCGTATTTAAAACGACGACGACGACAAAAAAAATCTAAAAACAATGAGAAAGCCCCACGTGACGTCGCCGAACCGGAAACGTAGTCACGCGACGAACCCCGGTGACGTCACGCAGCATAGCGGAAGTGACGTCGCAACCGATCGCCCGCTTTCAGTCGGGCTGATAAAATTCGATTGCTTTTACAATTCCCCCACCCACCGCACAAACAACTTCGCCTGTTCGAGGAGACGCATCAAGCAACAACAAAAAAGGGCGCTCGCCAATTGTTAATAAATAAATAATCGCCGCTCGACATTCCCCCTCCAGCCCCATAACGCCCCGCGCGCGCGCTGTCCCCACCCCGCCCCGCCCGACTTGAACATGGCGGCCGTGCGCTGAGGAGGTGTTCGCCGCTCGCATCTCGGTGGCCTTTCTTGCTTTCTTTTGGTAAACCTCCTCGCGTCCTCCTCCTCGTCGTCGTCTTCTTCGTCGTCGCCGCCGTCCCCCGCGCGGGTGGGTTTGCTGTTGTTGGTTTTCTTGTTATTAACGAAACCGACTCGTCACAACGACCGCCACTTCCCCCCGACCAGCGCCATCAGATTATAAAGTTCGTTCTCGTCGCCTGGTTCACCGCTACGGGGGTGGTGGTGGTGGTGGGTTTCTTCTTCTTCTTCGCCCGTGCGGCGAGATGTCTGTGCAGCCGAAGCCGGAGGAGGACTGCTGAGGCGCGATGTATTTGTCTTCCCGCGCGCGCGATGTCTCAAAAGTTTCTTGTTTCAAGAGGCCATTGTCGCGTTCGGCGCTGTCTTGTCAAATGGTCCCGACGTGTGCGCCGTCGGAGGCGTGCGGACGACGTTTGGCTGCTGCTGCGGCGGCTGGGCCTTGCCCACCGGCTCTTGCTTTGCCTTCCCAGATTGGTGCCGTGATGTGAGCCCTCAACTTTACCGGGCGTCGATGTTCCATTAATCGAGAGAGGGATACGCCATCGATATCGGTGCGCCAATGCGAGGTGCCACCGTCTTCAACGTGGTCACTCAGTTGCTGGATAAAAGGCCTCCACTTATAGTCGTCGGCATCTCACTGGTCCTGCGGCTGCTAGGGTGTTAACCAGAACACATTTCACCCGTTTTGGCCTCCCTGCACTGGCTTCTAGTTTCACTTAGAATGCCGTTTATAATCATATTCTTAACTTACATAACAGTGAACCCTCTTGCCCCAGCCTACATCATTGACATCCTGCACCAATATGTCCCCTCAAAGTCCCTAATATCTGGGGATTAAGATCTTCTCTGCATTTCCAGGTCGAGGTTTCGGTCAATGGGTGACCAAGCTTTTTCCCGTGTAGCTCCCAGGCTACGGAACGCTCTTCCACAAGATATCAGGATCGTGTGTGTCCGTGGACATTTTAAAAATGATCCTTAAAACCTATGTATATGCTTCCGCTTATTAAACTTTTCGTTAATTTAGTAAAATATGTTTTAAATGTATTTATATTTTTATGCTTAGTGTCTACTGCTGCTGTGTCCAGTACAGCGCTTTGAGATCCTTGATGAAAAGCGCTCTATGTAATTATTATTAACAATTGTCAATGGCGGTTTTAATCGTTAACTTTACGGTTTTATTAATGTGCAGCTCCATTGTCGATCGACGGTTGGATGATGGCTTATCCACACCGTGTCGCTGAAGGGAGTTGTGAATATTACGAATGTTATAAAGTGCAGCTTGTGTGACTAGACCCGATGCGGTAACGTTTAAATGTTAGCATGGTAAACTTTTATTCTCGCAGATGTGCTAAGAAAATTAGTGTTAGAAACTGCTGGCCGCAAACCCTATCCCTAAAATCCTGTTCCCTACCATATTTAAACCCCGCCCTTAAACCATTTACGTAAACTATAACCCTACTTCTAAAACTATGATCCCAAGCGCAATCTTTTACGGTAAACCATAACCCCTTAATCCTAAATCCACTTTTCGGTTAAATGACAACGTTTGCCTCGAGTCATAATATTTAATCACCAACCCCTTAACCTGACACGAACACTGAAGAATACACAGTCATATTTAAGCAGCTGAGAGGGCCCTGATTGAACGGAAATGTAGCCGATGCTCGGATACAAATATGCGGAGACAGTAGTTACTCTTTAAACAAGATATATACATTGACCGGACGCGTTAACAATACGAGCTTGTAAACGTTAGGACTTAGGCACGCAAACTGTGTTACTGGCATTGACAATGTGACGCTGACATGTAAACCACGTTCGCACAGAAACTAGACACAATATTTAGACCCCCCCCTACACTGTTATAAATTAAGACTTTATTAGCGTGTCTGTAATTATATAGACACATTACGTAAACATTGTTCACAGCTTTATGTGCATATTTCCGTTACCATATGAATCGGTTACATATGAATCAGTCTTTGCCAGCCTTTGAGTGTTAGTACCAGTCAGATATACGTTTTGGCTTTTCTCCCGCAAGAAGCCAAACACAAAATCTCCCGCAAGAAGCCAAACACAAAATCGATGGAATTAGCCAAACGCCCCAGAGTAGCAGGACTCACGTGAACACGTCTTGAGACTCAGCGAGGCTTTTACGGGATAAGCATACCTTGTTATTGCTATAATTACTACCGTCACGAGCATCTCCACCATCGTGACCACTCGGCACTAGAATTAGAACATTTGCGTTATTATTACTGAAGGGTGGAGCAGTGGCGCAGCGGTCTCAGCTTTTGTGCAAAGAACTGGGATACCAGAGGGTTATTCCTAGCCAAAACTTAAGTTTGGTGAAGTATAGTCAAACAAGCCTCATGAGTGATGTGGTGTGGGTGGGCCATCTTCCAACAGTAGTTTGACCTGAAATGGCTGTGAACTGGAATTCGCTTCAAAAACAGAACTTGAAAATCACTTGACCACATCTTTTGTCATCGGCACAGTGGGTTCCTTCAACTCTGTTAAGAGCTCATTGTTGTCTAAGGAGCGAACAAAAACTGAGAAAATATCCATCGTGGAGATGAAAATCAACCACTACAGGAGCTAGATAGATTGTTCCATCTCTTGAGGCTGAGCGAGATGGTGACAGTTTGGTGAGACCTCGATCTAGCAGTGGATAAATCATAATAGATGATGGCAGAGTTGGTATATGTTACCATTGGGCTAATGGAATGACACTCGGTTCAGTGTACTGAACCGAGGATATCAACAGTGCTGGTTCTTTTTTTCTTACACATCCATCATGTATAACCCTGAGAGAGACGAGGCCAGAGCTTGAACCCAGACACTTCACAGCCCTGGCGCAGTGTCTCTGGCACAGTACCAGCCCATCGAGCTACCCTGCCACCTCATTACAAACTCCTGAGTTGCCCCATTTAATACTCTGTGCTCTCCCTCCACTCCCCTTCCTCTCTTCCTTCAACTTCAACAGGTTCCTTGCTCTCATCAAAACAAGCGAGCGAGCTATTGAGTTAATGAGTGAGAGCATGAACGAGTGAGCAAGTGCTTGAGCGCCTGAGCGATTAAGTGAGTTGGCAAGCGAGTGGCCGAGCGAGAGAACACGAGACCAATTGAGCCAACGAGTGAACTTGCTCGCGCCGCCATGAGAGAATACAAGGTGGTGGTGCTGGGGAGTGGCGGCGTGGGGAAGTCTGCGCTGACTGTGCAATTTGTGACGGGCACCTTCATCGAGAAGTACGACCCCACCATCGAGGATTTCTACCGTAAGGAGATCGAGGTGGACTCGTCGCCCTCCGTGCTGGAGATCCTCGACACGGCCGGCACAGAGCAGTTCGCTTCCATGCGAGACCTCTACATCAAGAACGGCCAGGGCTTTATCCTCGTCTACAGCCTCGTCAACCAGCAGAGCTTCCAGGTGAGGGGGGCGGGGAGGATGAGATGGAGAGTGGTGTTGAAGATGGTGGTTAGTAGTCAATGTGGTTTCGTGCGGGTCTGTATGTTGATGAGTGGTGGAGGTTGGAAAGGTTGTGGGGGAAGGTGATGATGGAAGTGGTGGTGCATGGTAGTATGGTTTTGTCCATGGTGATGAGTGGTTGTCATGTTGAATGGGATTGTGGTGGTGAATGGGATTTTGATGGTGGTGATGAATTACATTGCGGGGTGATGGTTAAGGCGATGAGGGGGTGAAGGGGAGGTGAGAGATGTTTCAGTGGTTGGAAACGTGGTGGATTAGTTGCTGATGCATATTTTGTTGGGCATGTTGGTCAGTGTGGTTATGGTGGTTAGCAAAGTGATCATGTGGAGATGGTGTTTGGTGATGAGGGTGGCAGTGGCTTGCCTGTGGTCCATCCTAAGTTGAACCAGACTGTATTATGTGAGGAGCTCACAAATCCTTGAAGGTTCTGGACACATGCAATTGTTGGATCATGTTACCCACATGAGTTAGGCAAGTGAGTGCCTAATGTGGTATAAGATTTTGGGCATTTGGAGACAGCCGGCCCTACAGCAATAACGGATGGTGGGGGAGTGATGCTCACAACGATCAGCAGCCAGTTGGCACAGTGGGGAGCACAGGTGGTGTATCTGACAGTCACCCCAGTCTGTTTTAATCTGTGTTTCTCCCATGACCTTCCAGTGAGCCATTGACACTTCACGTGGCCTCAAAGCGCGCCTGGTGTGGCACATGGGTTTTGGTGACGTCACTGTCACTTAGTCGGAGTTGGTGGCTGTTATGCATTATTAAACATAATTTTCATCAATGTAGTTCGAGAAGTATTCCATGGCTGTACCAGTGAAGTTTCTACCTGGTAGAGATACATTTGGAGGCTGATCGATGCCTGGGTGTGGTCAAGGGATGGTTCCCTACTGGTCATCCATTTTATGTACGCTGATGATTTGGTGGTTGCTGCTCACTCTGAGAAGGAGTTGGAGGTTCTGCTGCTGAAACTGGAGCGTGGCACCTAAGAGTTGGGGTCTTACCATAACACCTACCTGGTTATTTTGTATCATTCAATACTCCACCACCTCAACTCTCCATAAGTGATGGGACAGATGTGGCGAGAGTGGAGAAGTTTCTGTACCTGAGTAGTGTTCTTATGACCAGCTCCAGTGTGGCAGCAGAGGTCTCACTCAGGTGAGCGGCATTATCTTTTTGTCAGCTGCCTAAAACTGTGTGAAAGCTACCTGGTCTGTCGTTCCACATGATGCTCCAGGTCTTCTTGGCCACAGTCATGCTCTCCCTTTTTACTTGCGATACGTGGACCCCTCCAATGGAACATGTGCCAGTTTGAAACTTTCAGGCTGGCCTGCCTATGATCCATTCTGGGTTTAACCAGTGTGGTTTGTGTGAGGAGCTCACAAATCCTTGAAGTATCTGGACACATTTCCATTAGTGAGCTCCGGCAGGCAAGGCTGTGTTGGCTGGGTCATGTAGCCCGCATTCCCAGCCCACCGCATGCCCAAGCAGCATCAGATAGAGGGAGCTAAACGGGTGCGCTAGGGATTGGAGAAGAGATGGACTAATGTGGTACAGGAGGATGTGGAGCTGAGTGGACCTGCAGAAGGCTTGTACCAACGGTGTTAAGATTGGCCTCTATGGTTGAGGTTTGTGAAAGATGCTACTAGGCAATTGGAGGCAGTCGCCCCCCCAACAACAATGGAGGGCAGAGGAGCGATGCTTGCAACAATGAGCGGAGTGCCGGGCGGCTGAAATGCAGCAAGTCGGCACAGTGGATGGCACAGGTGTTGCATCAGCCAGTCATCTCAGTCGGTCAACCCATGGCACCTGGGTCTGTCCTGTGACCTGTCAGCGAGCCTTCAACACTTCACCTATCCTCGGAGTGCACCTAGCCTGGCACAAGCACCGTGGTTATGTCACCACCACTTAGTGGCGGATGGCGGCTCTTGTTGTTGGATGTGTCTATGCGTGCACATTGGTGTGTGTTAGTTGCATGTTTGTATGTGTTAGTTGCATGTGATGTAGTAATCGTAGTGGTTGGTACATTGCGTTGGGTTTGAAGGGGAGCACAGGGGAGGGTTCTTCCAAGAGTCTGGCTCAGATATCGCTCACAATCAGAATCTTTATTTAGACTGAAAGAATCCGATGAGCTATGAAGCTCTTTTCACAGATGGCCAGTCGGGCGTGGATGACTGGCATTAGGCACGGCCGAGAATAAAACTTGGCAAGACTTGCATCGCACACCGCTAACCACTGCGCCACCCACTCCGCACCGAACTATCGCTACTGACCGTGGTCTGAATCACGGTTCCACTACCTTCGGCAGTCGTAAAAAAAAAACCCTTGCGGGGGTGGTACCGCTGGTGCTGTCGTCACGGTGGTGCAGGTGGTGAGTAAGTGGCGTTCACAGGAATACCTGCCCGGGGCGTGGCGGGGCAGATGCACACCGACAAAGATTTACTGTTTGTGTTTTTAGGCAGGAAGTAATTACGCACCGTCTCGCTGAATTGAGGTCGGTGATTAAATAAATAAACACAAAACAGGAGTTGTAGGGACATCACACCATTGTGGCAAGATGTGAACTACTTCACCTGTTATACAGGAGATCGTGGGTTCTATCCCGAATATGATGATGCCTGTATGTTTGGTGTTTGCATGTTCTCCCTGTGCTCGTGTGGATTTTTAACCGGGTTTCTCTGGTTTTTCCCTCCACATTTAGAATTGTGCGTTTAGAGTAATTGGATGCTGGAAAATTCCACATGATAACCCACTTCTATGAGCTATCATTTGTGACTAGGTCGCTTCTGAGAAAGCTACATAGCTCAGTGAGCCTTCCCTGGTGAAACAAAATAGATCAGTTGAGTTAAACATTTTTTTCTTCCAGATTTACATTGTGGTTCACGCTTACAGCAGTTGAATTTCCATACTGATAAATATAGAAATGCAAGCGGGGTTAAGTCTATGGCGTTTGGATGGGTGACCACAGTGCACAAACAAGTTGTCATCGGTGGCTGCTGGGCTATGTTCGCTGGGGGTCGGCAGAGGACAGGACACGATAAGCACAATCAGAGGGCAGTGCAAAGAAATCCACGGTTGTATTGTTATTAGATTGTCCAACGTCTATGCTGTGGCTGCTGCCAGGCTTTATGGTTGGCAGCAGAGAACGCTGCAGGGCAATAATGTGTCGTGCTGTACTATGCTCCGACGTCTGTTCTCCCAAGCTACACCGATGCGCGCTTACTGGCGTGGTGAAGTGTAGTCCTGGAGAGGCCTTCATCATCCATCAGTGGATTGACAAGAGCGGCCCTCCATGCCTGAGCGCATGTTTATTGATGTATAATTTGATTTTGAAAAGCAATGTGCCAAGGCGCCTTTGAAATAACGTTTTCAATCGGTTTATCGCTTGATGTTACATGTGGATCAGAAACATGGACATTGGTTAAATTAAAATTGAACAAACAGTTGAAAAGTGTGCAGTGAAGCACGGAGATGTGAATGCTAGGAGCTACACTGAGACACAGAAAAGGAACACGTGGATTAGAGAATACACGCAAGTATGAGATGTATTGACTGAATGGCACTTCTTTAGCACCGCACGCAGGCAAATTGTGCTAATCGAAGGTCAGGGGAAAAACAACAAACTAAACACAAAGCAGTTCTAAAGAAATATTTTTTAAATCGAGATTTAAAAGCTCTAGTGGCTTCCTAATATCGGAAGAAAGAGCATTGCAGATGGCTGCAGAAGTGCATCTTAAAGCATGCGATGACCGTCTTTGTTCTATGGGGAGCCAAAAGCTGCTGCGAGGTTGACTGGAGTTCGTGTGCTGGTTTATTCTCCTTGACAAGATCAGCGAGATGTTGTTCTTCATTTGTGGCAAGCACTTTGTGTGTAATGAGTGCGTTCTTAAGAGCCGTACGTGGGCTTGAGCAGGGCACGTTGCTCGAAAGGACGATGCCTGATGGCTGAGACTAACGATGGAGTGGCATCTAAAGGAGGGAACGTGCCGTGAACAGCATCCGCTGCATGGAGGGCTCGTATGCAGTAGATTCATTGTGTTTCATCACGGGACTGCGATGGAGGCCTTTTTTTATCCCATCAGTGGATAGATAATACCTGCTGAGGATGAAGATAGATTCACGCTGCTCATGGACTGTGGAGATTCCATTACTCTATGTTCTACAATGACCGCAAGGGCAAAACAAAAATAATTTACTTGTGACCTCAAATTTGATAACATGTCAAATCGTGGAGGGGGTGAATCGTTAATCCCCGTCTTCTGCACCCTCCCTCGACTTGTGTTTCCTCCCTCATCTTCATTTCTCCCGCCTCCTTTCCCTCTACTTGCCTCCCCTCTATACATCTCTATCTCCCCTCCTCCCCCTCCACATCTCTTTACATCTTCCTCTTTACCCATCTCCCACCTACATCGCTTCCCTATATTCATCTCCCGCGTCCCTCCCATCCCCCACCTCACCCCGCCCTCCCAATTCACTCCCTTGCTGTCTCTCCCTCTTATCCAACGACATCTTCCATTCATCTCCCTTACCTCCCCACCTCTTCCATGCATCTCCATTACCTCCCCACCTCTTCCATTCATCTCCCTTACCTCCCCACCTCTTCCATGCATCTCCATTACCTCCCCACCTCTTCCATTAATCTCCCTTACCTCCTCACCTCTTCCATGCATCTCCCTTACCTCCCCACCTCTCCTGCTCCCTCTTATTATTTACCTTTCCCCTCTGTCATCTTCCTTCTCCCCCCTCTTTCCCTCTACATCTCCTTCCCCCCCTCCCTCCTGTCCTTCCCTCTTCGTTTCTGTTCCTCTTTATCTTCCCGCCACTCTCTCCTCCCCTCTCCACCTCACCCATCCCGTCTGTCCCCAGGACATCCGCCCGATGCGGGAGCAGATAACGCGCGTGAAGCGCTACGAGAAGGTTCCCATTATCCTGGTGGGGAACAAGGTGGACCTGGAGGGCGAGCGTGAGGTGGCCTACGGCGAGGGCCGCGCGCTGGCCGACGAGTGGGGCTGCCCCTTCATGGAGACGTCGGCCAAGCGCAAGGCCACGGTGGACGACCTCTTCGCCGAGATCGTGCGGCAGATGAACTACGCGGCGCAGCCCGACGCTGGGCAGGCTTGCTGTGCTTCCTGCGTGCTGCAGTGACGGACGGGGCCCCGCGCACAGGTGGGAGGGGAGAGGAGAGAATTACAAGGGAGGGGAGAGTTGACAATTAGAGGGGAGGTGTGAGAGGTGGGTGGGCGAGGGATGGGAAGGGTACAGAGTGAGGGGAGGTGTGAGAGGTGGTAGGGATGAGAAGGGTAGAGAATGAGAGGTGAGGTGAGAGGTGGGAGGGATGGGAAGGGTAGAGAATGAGAAGGGAGGTGGGAGGGCTGGAAGGGATGGGAAGGGTTGAGAATGAGAGGGGAGGTGGGAGGGCTGGAAGGGATGGGAAGGGTACAGAGTGAGGGGAGGTGTGAGAGGTGGAAGCGATGGGAATGGTCGAGAATGAGAGGGGAGGTGAGAGGTGGGAGGGGATGGGAAGGGTAGAGAATGAGAAGGGAGGTGGGAGAGCTGGAAGGGATGGGAAGGGTGGAGAATGAGAAGGGAGGTGGGAGAGCTGGAAGGGATGGGAAGGGTGGAGAATGAGAAGGGAGGTGGGAGGGCTGGAAGGGATGGGAAGGGTGGAGAATGAGAAGGGAGGTGGGAAGAGGAAATGGGAAGTGACGGGAGCTGAGAGGAAGTGGGGTGACGGATGTGCAAGAGAGATGTGAGATGAGGTGCGGGGAAGGGGTTGGGAAACTAGGAGAGGAGAAGGAAAGAGAGGCATGGAGAGGTGGAGATGTTAGGTCAGGAGAGAATATGGGTCTGCTGCGCTTCAGTGATGCATTACAGTGAGGGGATTGAATGGTGAGGGGAGGGGAGGAGCGTGGGATGACTAGTGGCAAAGCGAGAAACGGGAGGTGGGAGCTCGTGAGGTGATGTAAGGTGACAGTTGTGGATGAGAGAAGAGTGGAGGTGGAGGTGAGAGGGGGGTAGGAGTGGAAGAGAGTGGAGGGGAGGTGAGGAGAGAGCAGGGGAGGGGGGTGATGGGAGATAAGGGGAATGAATGGGGAGAGGATGGGAGGGGTTGTGGTTTGTCTGGTTCAGGGAGAAGAGATGGGAGGCATGAGGAGGGGGGGATGGGAGGCATGAGGAGGGGGGAGATGGGAGGCATGAGGAGGGGGGGGATGGGAGGCATGAGGAGGGGGGGGATGGGGGGCATGAGGAGGGGGGAGATGGGAGGCATGAGGAGGGGGGGGGGATGGGAGGCATGTACATCTAACGCAGTGGTCTGCAATCTGCGGTTGCGGAGCTGAATGTTGCTCTAGAAGAACAGCTTCATGATGTTATTTATTAGGGACCATGTCTCGTATTCGCATGCATTGCTGCTCTTAAAATATTGTTTTTTTTAATCCAAAATTCGAAAAAAGCTCTTATTGGCGACCCCTGCTCTAACGTAGCAGGGTCGGCGATAGAGGCGGGGGCGTCGGTGGCAGCAGGATGCCCGTGCCTGGGTTGGGCACGTGTATCATGGAGCCTCTGAGCTCCCCTCGACCAATACGCAGACCACACCCACCCCCCACGACTGCTAGCGAAGACTCAGGCCCTGAAAAAAACAGGGGAGTGAGGGGAGGCGAGTGGAGGAAAGAAGAAGAGAGGAGGTGGTGAGGAGATGAGGGGATGGAAGTTGGCATGAGGGAGGAAGCATGGTAGCTCGGTGAGCAGTTGAAACTAGTTTATAGTTTGCTTTTTTGAATGTATATTAATGGTAAACTCAGGTTACTGAACAATACATTATACGGTCACACTCATTATACACAAAGTGCTTGTCACAAATTAACCACAATACCTTGCTGATCTCATCAAGGAGCATAAAATATCACGTGAACTCCGGTCATCCTCGCAGTGGCTTTTGGCTGTCTGGAATACTCCTCTTCCTTCAGATGTTCGGAAGCCACTGCAGCTATGTACTTTTAAATCTAGATTGGAAACGAATTTCTTTAACTGCTTTTTGTGTTTAGTTTGTTGTCCTTCCTCTGCACGGTTGGCTACGTGCAGTGCCCAAAGAAGTTCAACATATTCTTAGTTTTTTCGGTAAAGTCACGTTGAAGAGAAACAACAAAATAATATAATATATATAAAACAAAAAAAATTCTCACGACGAGTTATGGTCGAAACGTCGTGAGAATTTTTATTGTTTTATATATTATATTATTTTGTTGTTTCTCTTCAACGTGACTTTACCGAAAAAAACTAAGAATATGAATTACTGCAGTCACGAAAGCTTTAAATCAAAATTTAAGTTCAACATACTTACATTTTGTGATGGATTGAGTATTTCTTCACCTTTGCTCTTAAACAAACCCAGTCATCCCCTTTATGATGAGCCCTTGTTTATCGTGTGTTTCAGACTTCCTGCCAACAAAGTTTCGTGGCAAAACGGAGGACGGAGAAATTTACACGGATTAAGCTTCACGAATATTTTGTTGTTTTTTTAATTACGATTTTAATTACCATTATCGTTCTTAAGTTTGTAAGTAAACTAGTTTGTTCCCATGTGAAAGCGTATTTTCCGAAATATACATCTCATCAACAAGAAATGCAAGTGAAGAGAGGGGGGAAGACAGCCTTCCCTTCCACTCTCCGGAGCTGCACAATGGAACATTCCGCGTGTGGAGCGGACCCCAGAGGTTGGGCCGCGCCACTTGCGAAGGAGGGGGGGAGGGGGGGAGCCACCAGCGCCGCTGCCGGCGAAGAGGATTAGAACTTTAACTACAGATTGTAAACAACGCAACTTCTCACGGGGTGGCAGCGGGATGGAGAATTGAGCCCACGTTTTGGAATGTTAGGGGTCTGCGTCACAACAACAGCAACAAAGACAACAGAAACACAGTAACTTTTTTTAAAACACGGACATTTTTTCGTTTTAATTTCGTCGCACGCCACGCTGGCGATACGGAACCGCGCACAACTTTTGCCAAAAAAAAAAAACCGGCGCCATCTCGGGAACTCGTGAAGGCAATGGTGGCGGCGGCAGCGGCGGCGGCGGAGGAGGCAAGGAGTGAGAAACAGAAAGGAAACTGGAGACGGCGACGGAGTGAGGAGATGGAGCGTTCTTTTTTAGCGCTTGCACGGAGACACGGAGCCACCGAGACATGGAGCCGGAGGGCGGGCGACGTAGAGAGGGGGAGCGGAGGTGTTCTACTTTATCATTTGATTTGTTTTTATGTTGCGAGAGACGATCGTGCGGAGGATTTAACCTGGGCGTGCGCCTCGCGTGAGGGATACGAGTTTTATTTTGAATTTATTTTCCCCGCACCTGCCGTGATTTTATTGTTAATATCTGTCGGGATGTGGCTGGGGGTCGCGCGGGAGGGGAAGGAGAAAATTTGAGTGGAGATGAAATTTTAAAAATTCATACGAGCGGCGTACAGTGTTAACGCGTGTGTGCGCACACGTGCGTCCGTGTGTCTTGCCTGCGTGTACATTGCACAGACGAGGCGGCCGCGAGTGATGCTGGCCACACCACCACCCCCTCCCTCGTGCGCCGTTCTGGCGTTCATAGGTGCTCGCCAACAGCACTTGTCCCCAGCAGCAGCAGCAGCAGCAGCCTGTTTAGGCTACATGGGGGAGGTCTTTGTACGTGCACAGTACCTCTATTCAGGTGCATTGTGTGCACGCATGCGCGTATTTGTACCATTGTACGTGCGTGTACGTATGCATTAATGTGAGATGTGTGTACATACACGCGTGTGCGTATACATAAATTAGCATTTGTGCGCGCCTGTGTTTGTGCGCGCGCACACGTGTACTCGTTTGTATGAAGGCATATGCATGCATGCAGAGGTATGTCGATATGTGTATACATGTGTACATGCCTACAGATATGTTTGTTATGTGTACATGTATATAAAGTTACCTTCATACTCGTATACATGCATATATGTGTTCATATATTAGTGGTTACTTATTCAGCCCCGCAATTAGATGCAGTGCTACGATTCGGGGCTAGTGATTCGATTTCAAGAATCTATTCCTTTTTCCAAAATTGAGGTGAATGATAGTGCCTCTAGTGGCTGTGGGGGTGACGTTGAACCCATTGCATACAACGTGTGTGATTCGGTGCATGTTTCAAGAGCTTGGGAACCAATATTGATGCATCATACCACCACTAATATATACTGTATGAGATTACAAACAATGTCATTAAGTACATGCTTGTACGTACGCACGTGTGTATGAACACAATGTGAGTATATTTGGACATGCGTGTGTGTGTGTGTGTGCAAATGCACGCGTGCGTGTGTGCGTGTGAACATATGTACATACACAAAGGACACGTACACATTGTACATAGTTTTATAAAACGACAACACATCGGAACAGGCCACCCCGGTGTGACAGTTTTCGTGTTAATCGATGCGAGTCGGCAGGAATCGTCACATCGCAGGAGCGCGTGAGACTGCGTTTGGCTTGGCAAGGTTTGGCACGGCCTTCATCCAGCAGCATTATTGATCATGGCTAACGGTGAATGCATATCTCGCAATGAAGGCGCCGGGAGGAGGAGGAGGAACTGATGATGATTGTGTTCCCCTTAGTTGCAACCGTGCGCACAGAGATCTGTTGATTCTAGCGACTTCTCCAATCGAAGAGATCCGTTAATGCGTCACCTCCATTCACTTTCATAGAGATGTTGATGCAGGTGATTTTCATTCACTCTGGTAGATATATCAATGTTTTTTTTTTTACTGACATTCGTTTTAGATCTTATTTTAAGTTAACTCGATTCGCTTCAATCGATCTACATTTAGTGATAGTATTCGAGTGTCTTGTATTTGCTTTTTCATAAGATTAATCATGTCTGTGGTGTCAATGTTACTGTCGTGCATATTAACAAGCATTGTTCTGGAAATAACTACAATGAATTTACAAGCCTCTTGAGTGAGTACTGAGATCTTTATGAAAGTTTAGAGCCACTACGTAAAAAGAAAATATTTATATGAAAGTGAAGGGACTTTGGTTTGTACAGTATAACGGATCTCTTAAAAAGTGTTTGTAAACCTCTTACAGATCCTAGAAAGTTCATTTCTGTCACTTTTGAAAGTGAATGCTTTTCTGTAGATCTCCCGTGTCACGAATGGGTTTTCCAGATCTCTCTGGAAGTGAACGGAGATGTCGATGCCATATTTCGCAGTTTTGCCACTTTTTCTCGGTGCCTTGGGCAGCCAAGTCCAGGCCTTCGACAGCTCAGGGGGCGGGGGAGGTCAGCCAGCCTGACCTCGCCCCTAACCACGATCCCTCTCCGCCGATCCCGATCACCTTTGCACACTCGTGCAGGCGAGACCCATCATCTCAACTCATTTGGGGGGAGGAGGGGGGGGGTCGTCTAATTCAATACAATTTTGAAACTATGAAAATTTCTACGGAGACGGATGACATTCGGCGGCTACATTTTGTTGGTCGGTTGCTGAAAAGGAGGGGTTTTTTTGGGCGGGGGGGAGGGTGAAGTTTACCGGCTCAAGACGAATTTAGATGGCGATCTGGCATCGAGGCCACGGCCGGCGGTGGTGACCGCTGGCCCGCGTGCGTGCGTGCACACGAGAGATGTCACTATTTTTTTAGTCGAGCGGAGACTTGAGGCCAAAGGGGGTGGGGGGGGGGGGGGGGGGGCGTTGGGGGAGTGTCGACGTTTGCCGCTCATTTTCACGGGGGGGGGGGTTCACCGTTTCGAGTCGATCATCGGAATCAGAATATTTATTCATACTGGATGAATCCGATGAGCTATTACGAAGCTCTTAGTCCCCACGTGTGTCCAGTGTCATTGCCGCTGACACCATCAGGCAGGCAGGCAGTGGGAGAGCGATGGGGGGGGGGGGGGGCCGTGATCGCTCGGCGAGCGGTCAAGTCCAACGTCGCCCGATTTTTTTTTATATTTTAGCAAGAAAACTAAAAAAAAATTAAACTTGTTTTTAAATTAATTTTGCCTCGGTTTTGTGGCAAATCCCATTGTACAAAGTAAGCAGCTGCGAGAACGCACAGGCCGGGTGCGAATTGTTTTCCTGTCGACACGAGCTTGGTGAATCGCGAAGGCGCAAACTATTTGTACTTGATTAAATTGCTGCAGTTTTATTTGGTTCTCGGGCAATGCCGCGCAAGGAGGGGCGGGAATAAAAACAAAAATTCGCCGATTGTTGGTAATGGACTCTCCGGTTACCGTTTTGGGCGGTCGTGGTTTGTTGGCATGCGATGAGAAAACGTTGCGACCGCAGCTCCGATTCGTCGTTTATCCTTCACAATAATAAGCAGTGTTAATGGTGGTTCAGGTGTGCTCTCCAAAGTTCCCCTGAAATGTTAATTTTAGTTTCGTTTACAGATTTGCTCCCCCCTCTATGTTTACACAAGAAAGCATTGTCGAAGTCGAGTCTCCAGACTCACATTTTACAGGAGGATCTTGACACCCGTGCGTTGTGTTGTATAACTGGACCGAAACAAAATTCTAGTTGTGTGTAACATTGTGTCGCAAAGCCGGCTATCTCCGCTCCTGCTCCAGGCAGAGCCCTGCAACCTCCCCCCCCCCCCCCCCCCCCCCCGTATCGGATGCGCTCCACCAAACCCACACCTTGTCCCACGTCGCTCATTCCACGTCGTGGCCCGCAGAGTCGAGCGGTGTCGATGGCAACGGTCGCGAAGTTTTTGGAGCCGTTGCGGCTTGGAATTGGGGAACTGAAAGCAGTACAAGACGGGGGTTCTTTTTTATACTTTATTTTGCATTTATAAACTAAACCATTTCTTATTTTACCAGGTAAGGACCACTGAGCTATGTATATATAGCTCTCTTTCGGAGATGACCTGGCTGTCACAAATGATCGCTCAACCAAGTGGCTTATCACCAGCACGTGGAAGTTTATAGCAGCGGCCAAAATACTCTAAACGCATGTTGATTCTAAGTGTGGAGAGGAAAAACCGGAGGACCTAGATATAAAAAAAAACAAAAATCCACGCGACCACGGGGGAGAACACGCACACTCCAAATATACAGCAGGCGGGTCAGGGTTGGGATCGAACGTACGACCTGTTTACCAGGCGAGGTAGTCATCTTGCCACCGTGGCGACCTCTTCATCTTGGAGTGCACAGCGGGTTTTAGTTTGAAAGAGCAACGACAGACATTGATGCCAAGGGTCCCGTGTCAAGATGTGACCAATGCCCGTTGTAGGCCAACCGCAGATAACCTATTTCACATAAGTGCTGTGGTTTTACGCCCAGCCTACAGTTCACTGTTAAATTTACGCAACGGGAAATTATGATACGGATGTCTAATCACATCCGCTACTGTCGCAAGAGCCTTTTTGGGAGCCAAGTGGTTCGTGGGTGAGATTGGGCAAAAAAAATCAAATGTCATCCCGTGCGCGTGTATAGGCAGCCACACGCGTGACCGTGCTGAAACCAGTCACCGTTTCCACCCCTCCCCCGATCAAAGTAGGCTTGCCACCTTTGCTGGTTTTGTCAGGATTTTCTTTTTTGAAGTAGCTGTCCAGGGGAAAATCTTACAAGTCTTTCCCAGGACATAAGTCCAGTTTTTTTGTTCCGTTTTCTAATTAGACACCACTTAAGACAATACCTTTGCATGTAGGTCTCCCTCAACCGGTATTGTGAGATTCTTCCCACCGTATTTATCTTGGCTTTTTGTACCCCAGAGGTGGCAACCCATCATTCAGTACCCCCCCCTGCTCCCCCACATCTCGGTGGCCTCAATTCTCTGACTGAATAGCGGGTTGCATCGTGGCCCTGATTACATTTTTTTGCTCGATTTCCGTTCTCTATGCGTCGTTGCCTGAAAACCAAAATCGTTGGATTTTTATCTTTGCGCTAACTTGCATTTCTTTTTTTTACTGTATATGTGGGATCGTCGTGGTTGTTGATTTGTGCTAAAAAAAAAACTAAACGAAAAAAACATTTTGACTTTGCGATAAAAGCATGCTCCTGATTTGTCTGTATACTTTCCACATTTAGATATTTCTTTACTTCTTAGCGGTTGACCCCCCAAAAAAACCCAGCACTCAATGTTCCCTCTCAGCCATGCCACAAGACCCCTGGGGTCACGGACTTTCTCACCACTGCTGTTGCGATTGGCTGGCAAAGGGTTTTTGTTGTAGTGCCCTTCCCTGCCATCCGGCCACTCGTAACAGGCCATGCCTATACATAGCAGAGGGGGCCCTGTGTTTTCGATCTGGTACGGAGTATTACCCTGGACCCGCCAATAGACAAAATCAGTGTACCATCAAATCCTAGTCCGTGATTGAAATCGTAGGTGGCTGAATTGTTGCACCCTTTAAATAAATAAAGGGTGCACCATGTACAAGTTTAAACCCCCCAAAACAAAAATTGTGGCATCCTTAAGCCAATGGTGGAAATTCCACAGTCTCATGGACACTCAACCGTGTCTCTTTGAAGAAGTGGTACCCGTTTTACCCAAGCCGGTATGATTGGTGGAGTTGACTGGCAGCCGTCGTTTAATCACGCGGGCTTCCGGTTGTGAGCTGAGCGTTAACCGCGGCCCCAGCCAGCAGGATGAAGTAGCGAGTGGTATGTACAGTTTAACACGTAGACTTTCACGACCGATATCCATAATAAAGTAGGTGTTTTTGTTAGATCGTTTAAATACTAATGTATCGTTAACATTCCACCACACAAACAGCCGATTAGTAAGGTTTCCCAGAATCCGGCAAATCGCCCGACGAAGCTGCTTATAATTATTAGCGAAACGTCGTACTCAAATTGTAAATGTCGTTTTACTCAACACACCGGTGTGCTGAAGTAGTCACTGATAGGCACGTTTTGTTTGCGTGACATTACTAATTGGCCGTGTCGGGTGGTGGCGGGTTAACGACACGTTTATAGTTATGTGATCTACCCCAAAACACCTTCACTATGGATGAAGTATTATACGGTACTCGTGTTTACCAATTCACGTAAATCTGTAGCACATCGGTGGCGTTACAATGGTTTCCAAATGGCCACCCTCATACTTGAGGATGATTCAAACCTATTATGGCTGCTCGAAGACATGAAGAGTTTCAAATAAAAAATGTTTCTTAGACTAAAGACCATTTGATTAAAAGCTATTTAGTAATTTGATAAATAATTGCACACTTTTTTTACGTTAAAATCAATGCATTTAGGATGTAATTAAGTTTTTTTGGAGGCAAAATTAGCTACACGTGCTAAATTCCATCCAATCACAGGCAGCTGTAATGAGGAAGAAGGCGGACACTTGCATCACGGAAGATGGCATGCATTTCATCCAATCACAGACGGCTGTGATCGGGAAACCCCATTGTACAAGTCCGCCAGTCATGGCCGTGGAGGAGAGAATCAAATTTCGTTTTGAAAAAAAAACGGGAAGTTACTAAACTTGCACGTATATAATAAGAAAACTAAAATCCAGGAAAACTTAGATTTGAACAAATAAGAGTTATACCTCCTGCTTGTTAAGCGAGGCCCAGTGAGTTCTGGAATCGAATTTAGCCCCAGAGTTTTAGATTCTCCTTTTTTTTAAACGATTAAATGTACCACCGTAGTAATTATTATACATGTAGGTTACATTCTTTCCTGAGGTATTAAAGCATTTTTGAACACTGGTGCAGACCCCATTTTGGGTCCGACTTGAATTCGACAAGCTTGGCATCCTCATGCCATTTGACAAGATGGCGTTCTCGAGACAATCTGCCCGAATCTCCCCCCCACCACCATCAAACAAATGGATTAAAAAAACATAGCCACAGGCTGGGGATGATTTCTAAGAACAGTGAAACTGGTTGCACAACAGTTGCCTTGCAAGGTACAGAGACGCTGTAGCGTGTCGATGATCCCCAACATGGTTGAAAGCGGTAGTCAATTGTGTCGGGTAGTGATAAGACATGCATTGCGTCATACATATTGCACTGATGATTCCCAGTAATATTTAAACTGACACGTGTGTTGAAATTTCCGGGGTTTCTAATGTCATTGTCAGTGATGATTATCCCCATTGTGATTGAAATCGATACTGATTTGTTCTATAGGGTATCAGAATTGTAATGTCAATGATGATACTCTGATGAAATTGAAACCGGTAAACGGTTTATAACTCGGGTAGAGCGGACAAACCGTACTGATGATCACAAACTAAACTTGAAGCCCTGTGGGCTGATAGGTATTTACTGTCACGGAAATCTCTGAATAAAATCGAAACTGCTCAACAAATTGCTCATAACGCAGCACGGCTACACTTGCCCAATGATTCACAACCGCCGTGAAACCAACACGGTACATGCAGTTTCAATGTCGCGTCACTGTAGCGAACATCAAGGCACAATGTCCCATAGTTCTTGAACAATAACAAGAGCAGTTGGCGCCCGCGTGGAACGTCTCTGCACGTGCACTGCCCCTCATTCATCGCGACATTTCGGGGTTTTCCCCCAAAAAATGCTGTGCGGCCTACATGTTAAATTTCAACATAGTTGGGTATTTACCAGGGCGGCAGTGGAGCTCGAACCGTGAACTTCTTACAACAAAGTTTTGCAAGACCTGACTCGTTTGCTCGTCCACAGAGGGTCTGCTTTTTTAATTTCTTGCAACCACTCCCAAACAAATCCCCCCCCCCCTCCGCCACCCACCCCCCCCCCCTTTTTTTTAATCAGCCGAGTTTTTGAGTCATAAACCGAAGTGGTTTTTTAATAAAAGTTTAAAGTTTTGGAATTAAAATTTTCGTCTTGCAAAGCCCTCCGTGTGTGCTGCTTAACATTCACTGGAGGCTCTGATAAGTCTGTGGAAAATCCTCGTTCCAATGGCAAGGAATGGTTTATCCATTGTAAATTGCACCCACCTACGGTGATGATTAAGACCAGCTTGATGTGCGGAGTTTTCCGAGTGGCTGATCGGCAGGCTGTGTAATTGAATGGATATCCGATTGGCTGCCTGTTTAGCTGACCCGCTTATGAAGCGGCACTTTGTGAGACTCGCTGCCTCGTTGGGTCATCTGCTCATGCAGTCTGTGCCCTCATTGGTTGAATGCCAGCATCCAAATTTTGGTTTCCTTGTCAATTAATCCAGAATGTGAAAAACCGAGTGACCGCCTTGGACATGTTTACATCACTGCACATCCACACAAGCCAGCCTTGGGGTTTCTTATGAATGACCTCGTGCACTTGAGCTGGTTCTGGTGTCACTGGATGACCTGGTTCTGGTGACTTTCCACTGCCGTGCCGAGTCGTGCCGTGACGAAACCCGTGAAACTCTGGCCTCACGAGACATCTGGCTGAGGGGTCAAGCAGAGCCACGGTCTCGGTAGATCCCTGGGTTTGACCTTCCACGAAGCTCACGGTCCACCCTAAACCGCACCCACTGCACAAACCATGGCAGCATATGCAGATACCTGATGCACAAATGGAAAATTAAAAACTCTCTAGCAGTGTGCGGTTGGTCATCCGGAAAAGGCCGTAGTACAACGTATAACGACGCAGTGTCCCGATCCACGACTACGAATGAGAACATACTCGTTGTTTTTTTCGGTAAAGTCACGTAGGTAAAAAATAAATAAAATAAAATAAATGAAAACAACTAAATGCGATTTCTCTTCTTTGGTTCTTTCGGTAAAGTCACGTAGAATGAGAATAAAATAATAAATTGATAAAATAAAATAACACAATTTATTATTTTATTCTCATTCTACGTGACTTTACCGAAAGAACCAAAGAAGATGAATCATTGCAGTCACGAAAGCTTTAAATCGAAAAATAAATGCGATTTCATTGAGTTGTTTTCATTTGTTTTTTTACCTACGTGACTTTACCGAAAACCCCCCAAAGAGTATGAATCCTTGCAGTCGCGAAAGCTTCAAATGTAGAACGAAGGAGCACATCGCAGCGACGCCACCCTGCTGCTCCTGCAGCGCTTGTCTGGCTTGATGTGAGATTGTAGTTGTTGCTTCTGCATCTGCATCAGCCGCCATGCGAATAGAAGAAGACTGCCTCGGTTAATTTTTTCCCCTCGGCACACAGCGAGGACAGCGTCGTGCCGATTTGTTCGTCGCGTGAAACGTCAGCGGCACGGCACGGCACGGCTTTCGCAGTGGACAAAAAAAGCCGACCTGAGCTGGCTTAGCACGGTCCCTTACAGCCCCAGTGAAGCCGCGTGGCGCCGCGCCTTCATCCGCAGGTCCGCGAGGCTCGAATGTTTCGAGACGGAGGATACCTGGGCTCCTGCGGAAGACAGCAGTGGGGTAGAAGAACTAAATTTGAGCTGGTTATCATCGTCGTCGGCAGCAGCAACGATATGTCTACCGCGGGATGAAGACCTACATGTGCATAGACACCAGCGTGTGGGCTATGTTTTTTTTTCCGTGTGTATGTATGTGGAAGAGTAGGCCAAGTGCCCTCTAATAGTCGAGAGGAACTCCCTCTAATATTATTGAGGGACTACTGTGTAGCGTTATCTTGGTCTGGGACTGTTGTTGTTATTGCTGCCTTGCCTAATCTCGATAAATCGGACATATAACTGGTAACTTTATTTATATTTAGTTACTTGCTCACCATTTTCTATATACTGCACTCCTATCGCGTTTGTTTGTTTGTATTGTTCGCTGCTGGGACTTGCTGACCCCGCCCATGCTGGACGCGTGTGGAAAAGAGCTTCAGAGCGAATCGGATTGCTCCTCTTGCGAGTCTGAAGTGAAGCTTCGGGCGATTCCAACGGAGGCGCCTTGCAAGCAGCAGACGCGCGAGCCGAGCCGCTGCAGGGACGTGAGCCAAGCGATTGACGTGCGGGGCACGGCCCGCGATCTGCTATAACGCGGCGCTCGTTGCGTTCCTGAAGAAAGCCGCGTTATGGAAAATTCGCGTTTGTAATAAATAATAAAAAATAGCGTATAAAAAGAAAAAAATAGCGTTGTAATAATTAAATAAATAAAACTTCACGTTCCCATAAATAAAAAAAATCGCGTTTTAATGAATAATAAAAAAATCGCGTTGTGATAAATAAAAAAAATCGCGTTGTAAGAAATAATACAAAAAAATTGCGTTGTAATGAATAATAAAAAAAACCGCGTTGTAAGAAATAATAAAAAATCGCGTTGTAAGAAATAATAAAAAAAAATCGTGTTGTCATAAATTATAGAAAATCGCATTGTAATAAATAATAATAAAAATCGCGTAATAATAAATAATATTGGGGGGGGGGGGGGGTGAAGCACAGTCCGCGATAACGCGCGAGATGCGTGCGCAGGCCGCACGAAGACCGAGGCGCGTGGGCAGCGTCTCGAAGCATCCAGCAGCATCCCAACGACTTGTGGGATGCTACCCCGAGGCGGCCGCACGAACCGCGTATTCCTACTCGCGCGACGTCGTTTCTGTTCACTCAATCGTGTAATATTCAATTCGCATCCGCGTCATGTATATATAAAAAAATATATATACATGCTGTCCAATTCGCGTTATAAAAACAACACGCAGCGTTCTAGGAGAACAGATCGTACTTTCACGTCTAGCTGGAGATGACTTTCACGTCTAGCTGGAGATGACTTTCACGTCTAGCTGGAGATGACTTTCACGTCTAGCTGGAGATGACTTTCACGTCTAGCTGGAGATGACTTTCACGTCTAGCTGGAGAAGACTTTCACGTCTAGCTGGAGATGACTTTCACGTCTAGCTGGAGATGACTTTCACGTCTAGCTGGAGATGACTTTCACGTCTAGCTGGAGATGACTTTCACGTCTAGCTGGAGATGACTTTCACGTCTAGCTGGAGATGACTTTCACGTTTAGCTGGAGATGACTTTCACGTCTAGCTGGAGATGACTTTCACGTCTAGCTGGAGATGACTTTCATGTCTAGCTGGAGATGACTTTCACGTCTAGCTGGAGATGACTTTCACGTCTAGCTGGAGATGACTTTCACGTCTAGCTGGAGAAGACTTTCACGTCTAGCTGGAGAGGACTTTCACGTCTAGCTGGAGATGACTTTCACGTCTAGCTGGAGATGACTTTCACGTCTAGCTGGAGATGACTTTCACGTTTAGCTGGAGATGACTTTCACGTCTAGCTGGAGATGACTTTCACGTCTAGCTGGAGATGACTTTCATGTCTAGCTGGAGATGACTTTCACGTCTAGCTGGAGATGACTTTCACGTCTAGCTGGAGAGGACTTTCACCTTGAGCTGGAGATGACTTTCACGTCTAGCTGGAGAAGACTTTCACCTCTAGCTGGAGAGGACTTTCACGTCTAGCTGGAGATGACTTTCACGTCTAGCTGGAGATGACTTTCACGTCTAGCTGGAGATGACTTTCACCTCTAGCTGGAGAGGACTTTCACGTCTAGCTGGAGATGACTTTCACGTCTAGCTGGAGATGACTTTCACGTCTAGCTGGAGAAGACTTTCACATCTAGCTGGAGATGACTTTCACGTCTATCTGGAGATGACTTTCACGTCTAGCTGGAGATGACTTTCACATCTAGCTGGAGGACCGAGGCTCTTTGCGGGTCTCCTCACCGTCGGACGCGGCCTCGAGTCCCAGGGGCAGGGCGAGCGCGAACGGCACCGGCGGGAGGCCCCAGGACGGAAACGTCGCCGGTTCGACTCCGGCTCCCGCGCCGAGCTCCGTGCCGGGACTTTGGGGCCGCCGCCGGGTCACGTGGTCGCAGCACAGGTGAGCGGGCACCTTTTTTTGTGTGTGCAGGGCGCCCGGTGGTTGGAAGTTCCCGTTCGTTTTGGAGACAGAGATCCATCGTGATGGAGGTGTTTGGGTCAGATCGCGTCAATATCAGTGTCGTCGTTAAACCCGCCACCACCCGACACAGCCACTTTGTAAGGTTTGTCGCGTGAAACAAAACACGCCAATTCGTCGCGAGGTCAGCACACCGGTGTGTTGGAGAGTAAACCCCACTACAACATTTACAATTCGAGCACGTGCTTAACTGAAAGACACAAAGATGTCCCCCCCCCCCCCCCCCCGTATAGCCTCAACGTACTTTTGGGGCAAGTGCAATTAGAGAGGAATCACCTAGCAGACGACGTCAGAGATCAGTGCCAAGATAGAGGTGGCGCTAACGTGAGCCTATTGGCACCGCAAGGCACGAGGGGAAAGTGTCATCAAATGACGACATGTGCAGTGGAGACACCTACGGGGGCTATCTGCACCATGGATCGTGATGGTGAAGATGACTCGCACGGTGCATGGAGTGGGTGGCGTCGCGAGCAATGCGCCCGGCCGCCTTTGTCACCCCAGTGCTGACGTTTTACACACTGCACCAGGTTACTCACTCAAGGCTGAGTCTACCTAGGGGAGTCCAGTTTCGATGTCACTCGCCGCTGAATTTTAGCCGTGGTCGGGCAAATCGGAACCCTGCTGCCATGGCATCGTGGAGGAATGTTCTAGCCACTTGCTGTTAAGGCTATCCGGGGGGGCTTTGTCTTTGCGTTCTCACCTGTTTATGATGCAGCCTCGTGACTCCCATGTGGATGTACGGGGCCACCCGGTGCCCATCCAGACCCGGCCTCAACATCACGCCTACAACACCACCAACATGATCATCATCATCACCACCACCATCACATCTCCACCATCATAATCATTACGGTGACCATCAATGAATCACTACCTTCATCGTCTATAACAGAGACGTCTCTGTTACCCTGAGTCTGTCTCTGTCCAGGTGTTTGTCTCCATATCTCTTTGTCTCCGTCTCTGTCTCCCCGTCTCCCTCTGTCCGTGTCTCCATGTCTCTGTATCTCCCGAGTCTCCGTCCCTGTGTTTGCCCGCCCCCTGTGTCCCAGCGTCTCTGCGTCTCCCTGCCTTTGTGTCTCCCGTGTCGTCCGTGTCTTTGTCTCCCTGCCTCTCTAGCTCCTCGGTGTCTCTGCAGCCTCACCTCTCCGCGCCTGCATCTCCTGTTTCCTGCTCTTCGCGCGCCTGTTCTGGAACCAAACCTGTAAGTTTCAGGCAGCGGGACGCGGTGACGCGACACAGCCCACTTGCAGGAGAACGGCAACAACACGAGCAAGACAGCCGCCCTGGACAGCCCGGGGCCTCTCTGTGCAGGGTCGCCACGGTGGCTAGGAGACGTTGACTACCTCGCCTGGTGTACAGGAGGTCGTGGGTTCAACCCCGACCTGACGATGCCTGCTGCTGCTGTATATGTGGAGTTTGTGTGTCTCTCATCATCATCATCAAGGTGGCTATGAGATGTTAACTACCTCGCCTGGTGTACAGGAGGTCGTGGGTTCAACCCCAACCCTGACGATGCCTGCTGTTGCTGCTGTATATGTGGAGTTTGTGTGTCTCTCATCATCACGGTGGCTAGGAGATGTTGACTACCTCGCCTGGTGTACAGGAGGTCGTGGGTTCCATCCAGACCCTGACGATGCCTGCTGCTGCTGCTGTATATGTGGAGTTTGTGTGTCTCTCATCATCATCAAGGTGGCTAGGAGATGTTGACTACCTCGCCTGGTGTACAGGAGGTCGTGGGTTGAACCCCGACCCTGACTATGCCTGCTGCTGCTGTATATGTGGAGTGTGTGTGTCTCTCACCATCATCAAGGTGGCTAGGAGATGTTAACGAGCTCGCCTGGTGTACAGGAGGTCGTGGGTTCCATTCAGACCCTGACGATGCCTGCTGCTGCTGTATATGTGGAGTTTGTGTGTCTCTCATCATCATCACGGTGGCTAGGAGATGTTGGCTACCTCGCCTGGTGTACAGGAGGTCATGGGTTCCATCCAGACCCTGACGATGCCTGCTGCTGCTGTATATGTGGAGTTTGTGTGTCTCTCATCATCATCAAGGTGGCTAGGAGATGTTGACTACCTCGCCTGGTGTACAGGAGGTCGTGGGTTCCATCCAGACCCTGACGATGCCTGCTGTTGCTGCTGTATATGTGGAGTTTGTGTGTCTCTCATCATCATCAAGGTGGCTAGGAGATGTTAACTACCTCGCCTGGTGTACAGGAGGTCGTGGGTTCCATCCAGACCCTGACGATGCCTGCTGCTGTATATGTGGAGTTTGTGTGTCTCTCATCATCATCAAGGTGGCTAGGAGATGTTAACTACCTCGCCTGGTGTACAGGAGGTCGTGGGTTCTATCCAGACCCTGACGATGCCTGCTGTATATGTGGAGTTTGCGGTGTCTATCCCCGTGGTGGTCGCGTGGATTTTTCTCCGGGTGCCTCCCGGTTTTTCCCCCCTCCACATTTAGAATTAACATCACGCGTTAAGAGTTATCTGGCTGCTGTAAAGGTCCACGCGTTAAGCCGCTTTGTCGAGCTATTATTTGTGGCCAGGTCGCTTCTGAAAAAAATAGTAGCATAGCTCAGATGTACCTGGTGAAATAAAAAAATGCTTTAGTTTTAGTTTATCCTGCATCGCTTAGGATATTTAACCAATAAAAATAATCACACAATGTCTCTTTCCCCATGTCTGTCTTCAAATTTTTCCCGGATTGCATAATTTCAGCAGAAGCAGAATTGATGCAGTACAAGCAACATTCTGGATCGGTTTCGACATCCAGTGTCTCATTAGTAGAATGAGGCTTGCTTGCATTAAATTTCTCTTCATTTATATTCACTAGGGAAGGCACACTGAACTATTATCTCTTTTTCAAAAGGGACCTGGCCACAAATTATAGCTTAACGAAGTGGCTTTTATGTAAATGTATAGCAGCCAATTACTCGAAAGGAATGTTTCTAAATGTGGAGGGAAAATTCCGGAGGACCCAGATAACAATCCACGCGACCACCATGGGGAGAGTGACACGCAAACTCCAAATATACAGCAGCAGCAGGCGTCAGGGTCGGTGTCGAACCCACGACCTTCTGTATACCAGGCGAGGTAGTTAACATCTCCTAGTCACCTTGATGATGACGAGAGAGACACGCAAACTCCAAATACATAGCAGGCGTCAGGGTCGGGGTCGAACCCACGACCTCCTGTAGAACCCACGACCTCCTGTACACCAGGCGAGGTAGTTAACATCTCCTAGCCACCTTGGCACCCAAAGATCCCCCGTGTAGCCTTAACAGACTGTTGGGGCAAGTGCTGTTAGCGAGCAGCACCTACAAAGACAAAGATCCCCCGTGTAGCCTTAACAGACTGTTGGGGCAAGTGGTGTTAGCGAGCAGCACCTAATGAAGGCCGACATGGCGCAAGAGGGGAGGAGGGTGGTCAACTCCACGCCCGGCCGCCTTTGTCTCCCCAGTGCTGATATTGACACCAGGTGCTCAGTTGAGGCTGAGTAGACATAGGGGAGGCCGAGGACCGGGTCAAGATATTCGTCACTGTTGTTGTTGTTTGTTGTTGTTGAGTCGTGAGTAGGAATCGAACTCGGGTCGCCGAGTTCGTAGCGCAGTGCGTTAGCCACCACACTACCGTGTACACCACCACCAACACACTACCGCGTACACCACCACCAACACCACCACCACACTACCGTGTATACCACCACCACCACACTACCGTGTACACCACCACCACCAACACCAAACTACCGTGTACACCACCACCACCAACACCACCGTGTACACCACCACCACCACACTACCGTGTACACCACCACCAACACCACACTACCGTGTACACCACCACCACCACACTACCGTGTACACCACCACCACCAACACCACACTACCGTGTACACCACCACCACCAACACCACCGTGTACACCACCACCACCACACTACCGTGTACACCACCACCACACTACCGTGTACACCACCACACTACCGTGTACACCACCACCACCACACTACCGTGTACACCACCACCACACTACCGTGTACACCACCACCACCACACTACCGTATACACCACCACCACCACCACGCTACCGTGTACACCACCACCACCAACACCACACTACCGTGTACACCACCACCACCACCACACTACCGTGTACACCACCAACACCACACTACCGTGTACACCACCACCACACTACTGTGTACACCACCACACTACCGTGTACACCACCACCACACTACCGTGTACACCATCACCACCACCACACTACCGTGTACACCACCACCACCACCACACTACCGTGTACACCACCACCACCACACTACCGTGTACACCACCACCACCACACTACCGTGTACACCACCACCACACTACCGTGTACACCACCACCACCACACTACCGTGTACACCACCACCATCACACTACCGTGTACACCACCACCACACTACCGTGTACACCACCACCACCACGCTACCGTGTACACCACCACCATCACACTACCGTATACACCACCACCACCACACTACCGTGTACACCACCACACTACCGTGTACACCACCACCACCACCACCACACTACCGTGTACACCACCACCACCACACTACCGTGTACACCACCACCACCACCACACTACCGTGTACACCACCACCACACTACCGTGTACACCACCACCACACTACCGTGTACACCACCACCACCACCACACTACCGTGTACACCACCACCACCACACTACCGTGTACACCATCACACTACCGTGTACACCACCACCACCACACTACCGTGTACACCACCACGCTATCGTGTACACCACCACCATCACACTACCGTGTACACCACCACCACCACACTACCATGTACACCACCACCACCACACTACCGTGTACACCACCACCACACTACCGTGTACACCACAGCCCCACCCCCCCGGGGGCACGCTCATTGTTGTCTCGTTCCCCACGCCTGCGTGACGTGTTTGGCACCAGCTGTGGCTGTTGTCAATATTTGATGACTACAGCTGCGTCTGTCACCAGGTTTGCGACTGCGCGGTGTGGGACGTCTTCCCTTGCTGGGGAGAAGCTGAATTGGACTCTCAGCCGACAGTAAAACCTTGATCACACCGAGACTGCGCGCATTGATTGTGTGCTCAGAGCTGCTTTGTATGTGGAACTTTTTGCGCACCGTACGTAGCCGCCTGTGCTACAACGGAGGTGCGCGGGGAACGACAATAAACTAAACACAAAAAAAGCAGTTCTAAAAAAAATGAGTTTTCAATCCAGATTTAAAAGTGCATAGTTCAGGAGGCTTCCTCACATGGGAAAGCAAGAGCGTTCCAGACGGCCGCAGAAGCGCGCATCTGAAAGCGCGCGATGCGGCGAAATCGGTAACGTCGTGCAAACGTTCGTTCTCATTTGGGATTGAACGTCGCAACGATCGTCCCCCCTACTGCAAACACTTGGCAGGACCCTCCTGAAAAAGAGTCATGGGACTCGGTGATGGTTTCTTGGATAAACAAGCGAAATCATAAGGGGCCGTCCATAAATGACGTCACGCGATTTTTGACGATTTTTAACCCCCCCTCCCTCGTCACACGGCGTCATAAAAAGTCAGACCCCCCCCCCTCAAATATGACGTCACAAAGCTCTGCCCCCCCCCCCCCCAAATAAAACATGCTTCAAATCGCTTTAAACTATTGTCATTGTAGTGCGTGTTTAATGTGGCGCTGCACTCTGATGTTGTAGGGGGAAACATTTATTCAAACGTCTAATTAAGTATAAACGTGTTGTCTATATTTATTTAAAGTTGCGCATGTTGACGTGACGTCACATTTCTCAACCTGCCCCCCCCCCTCGTCACACATCGTCACAAATATCTGACCCCCCGCCCCACCCCCCAGGTAAGTCTGTGGGGGCTGCGCTCTGCCGCGAGGCTCTGCTGAGATGACGTCGCGGATCGGGGTCAGGGCCCACGCGTGCCGCTCGGGGCGGGGGGGGGGAGCTTACGGCTCCACCACCACCCTCGCCAGCAGCAGCTGTGGCAGTGGCTGTAGCTGTGGCCGTGGCTGTGCTGTGGCTGTGCTGTAGCTGTGGCCGTGGCTGTAGCTGTGGCCGTGCTGTGACTGTGGCCGTGCTGTGGCCGTGCCTGCGGTACCTGGACGCGCGTCTCGGGCAGGTGGAGGCGCGCGCTGAGCGCGAGGCGCGCGCCTCCGTCGGGGTAGTGGGACTCCTCGAAGGCGCGCTCCAGCTGCTGCAGCTGCTCCGCCGAGAAGCTCGTCCGGCAGCGGCGCGACCGGCGCAGCGCCGACCCCCCTCCTCCCCCTTCTCCCCCTCCTCCCCCTTCTCCCCCTCCTCCTCCCCCTCCTCCCCCTCCTCCCCCTCCTCTTCCTTCTCCTCCCCCTCCTCCTTCTCCCCCTCCTTCTCCTCCTCCTCCCCCTCCTCCCCCTCCCCCTCCTCCTGCTGCTGCCGCTGCCACAAACAAACCGCAATACCTCGCTGCTGATCTCGTCGATGATCACAAACCATCGTCGCGCGAGCTCCCCTCAAGCTCGCCGCTTTTGGCTCGCCGTCGAACGAAGGCGGCGGTCACCACAGCGCGCGCTCTCAGATCCGCCTGTGCGGCCGTCTGGAACCTTCTCGCTAGCGATATTCGGAAGTCACTGGAGCTACGCACAAACACATTTCTTTAGAACTGCTTTTTGTGTTTAGGTTGTTGTTCATTACCCCGCACCTCCGATTAGCACGGTCGGCTACGTACGGTGCGAAAGAAGTTCAACATACATACGTACACGATTCCGGTGATGATGTTGTTGTTGTTGATCCCACTGTTGCCCGTGGCCCCATTCGTCTTTCCGCCGCTGCTGCTGGAGTCGATGATGATGTTGGTGCTGCTATTCTTGACCGTACTCTTCTCCGTTGCTCCAATCCTTCTGCTGCTGATGATGATGTTGCTGCTGCTGATGATGATGTTGCTGCTGCTGACGTTACTGCTGGTGCTGCTGATACTGACGATGATCGTGCTGCTCCCGGTCCCACTGTTACCGACGACCCCACTCCCGTTGTTGCTGCTGCTGCTGTTGCTGCGGGTCTCAGCTGTTCTCCTTTGGCTGCTGCTGTTGCTGTTGCTGCGGGTCTCAGCTGTTCTCCTTTGGCTGCTGCTGCTGCGGGTCTCAGCTGTTCTCCTTTGGCTGCTGCTGTTGCTGTTGCCGCGGGTCTCAGCTGTTCTCCTTTGGCTGCTGCTGCTGCTGCTGCAGCTGCTGCACCGACTCCAGTCCGAGGCACAGCGCCTCCCCCTCTTCCTGCTGCTGCTGTCCAAGGTCCTGACCTTGCTGCTGCTGCTGCAACGTCTTCTTCTTCTTCAGTTGTTGCTGCTCTATGGAATCCTCCTCCTCCTCTAGTAACTCTTCCTCCTGCTGCTGCTGCTGCTCCTGCTGCTTGAACCCCCAGACCAAACCGGGCAGAGCCCCAAGTCTCTTCGTCCTCCTCCACTCCGCCGCGGGTGTCTGTGCCAGTGAACACGCGAGCCGGAGCAGCCTGTGAGTCCGTCTGACCACGCGACTCCGTGGCAAAAGGCGCGGTGGGCAGGGTAGCGCAGACCCCGCCACCGCTGGGACCCCCACGGGTTCAAAGCTGGGGTTGTATTCGCACATCCCATTAGCACGGTTGGCTCCGCACGGTGCGAAGGAAGTTCAGCTGTGCGGTACACGCAAGCGCACGCACGCACGCACGCACCCGCGATTCAACCGGGCCCTCTCGTGCAGTGAGTTTGATGGTCTCAGCGCGGTAGGCAGCGACACGTATGCAAAATAAAAAAATAGACCCATAGACCTACTTAGAGAGCCACAGACTCACTCACCCACGGCATTTCCATAGAGACCCGTAAACTGACGTAGACGTTGAGCTATGATTGAAACCGGGGTCATCGAGTGTAGTGCTGATGATGCTCTCAGCCTGGTCAACAATGACCGTGCAGCACACACGCCATACAAACCCACAGTGGAGTAACGTTGGTTCCGGACTTAAATCGGCCAGGGTCCATCTCTGATACTCTGTGGTTCCTTCGGTAAAGTCACGTGACGTTTCGATCGCAACGCAAGCGACCGTCATCAGGTGGGACGACCGCAGCAAGAAAAAAAAACTGCTCCGATCATCGGAAAATGTCGTCGCGATTCACGCGCGCGTATGCACGTACGTTGAACTTCTTCCGCTCCGCACGTAGACAACCGTGCCAATCGGAGGTGCGGGGGAAGGACACCATGTGCGACGAACTGTACTCTCAGTGGCATTTGCAAGCATCTCAGCGGTAGCTCTGGGGTATCCCCTTCCACTGTCCGCTCTCGAACACCAAAGCGTTCACGTCGCTCCGCGAGAGATTCGGATGCCCCAGCACCCCTCCCCTCCCGCGGAGTTCACGCGCAACGTTGAAGGATCGAGTGGTGGGTGGCGTGAACGGAGGGGTGAAGGGGGGAGCGGTGGGGGGAGGGGAGGGGGGTGAAGGAGGCTTGACGGAGGTGAATGCGTGGAAGGGCAATTGAGGACGTTAATTGGAGGAACGATGTGAAGGATTGAATGGAGGAGTGACAGGAAGAATGAAGGCTCAAGGCGTTGAAATGAACGAGGAGAGGGTAAGTGAACGACTGGTGAAGGAATGAATACGCGAATGCGGAGGTGAGGAAGTGAATGAGTACGGGTGAATTAAGAGTGAATGAATCAATGTTGGGAGATGTCTGTTAAGGAATGCCCCAGTAAGTGAATATAGCAGTGAATGAGTAAATCAATGAATGTTAGAGTGAATTAATTATTACGTGGGGGCGTGAAGCGGTAAATGCGGGAGACAACCAGCGAATGAGGGAATTGGCGTAATGAATGAAGGAAATTATTGAATGTATGGAGAAGTGAGTGGATGAATGCTTAAAGCACGTGACTCGGGGGAGTAAAAACAAGAACGAACCAGTGGATTCATCTTCTTTGGTTCTTTAGGTAAAGTCACGTAGAATGAGAATAAAATAATAAATTAATAAACTAAAATAACACAATAAAATTCTTACGACGTTTCGGCCACAACAGTGCTAAAGTTGAGGGCGCTCTGTTTCTTCTCACACAGCGTAAAGGTCGCGGTCTGAGCTTGGCTGTGTTCGCTCCAGCGCTGTCCTCCAGACAGTCTCGTCCCTTCACCTGATGAAGGCCACTTGTGTTGTGGCCGAAACGTCGTGAGAATTTTATTGTGTTATTTTGTTTTATTAATTTATTAATTTATTCTCATTCTACGTGACTTTACCGAAAGAACCAAAGAAGATGAATCCTTGTAGTCACGAAAGCTTTAAATCGAAATTGAACCAGTGGATATGTGGCCAATGGAAAAATGAATGAACGAGAGAGAGAGAGAGACGGAACAAAAACCCCACAACGAACGGTGACTCCCACGTCGCATCATTCGTTTAACCTCACACCTCACTCACATGGGTTCGAGTCCCCGCTTGGGGCCTCCGCCTGGGTCTCCCCGCCTCCGTGCCGGGCCCCGCTGGACCGAGGTCTCCGTCCTCCACCCGCGAAGGAGGCGCGGACGAAGCGAGCGAGTTCCTCCATCCCTCGGGCAGACATGCGGCTGCGTGGCGCCACGTGCAAACTGTTATTTAAACGAGTGCCTTATCATGGGACATTTTCTTTTTGCCAGTATCAAAGTGTGAAACGATAAAAAAACAGTCTGCCTCAGCGGCAGGCCATGCTTTCCCACCTGATGACGGACGCTTGTGTTGCGCCCGAAACGTCGTGATTTATTTTATTTTCTACCTACTACGTGACTTTACCGAAATAACCAGTCACGAAAGCTTCAAATCAAGAATAATAACATGAGTTTTTTTACCCTTTCTGACAATAAAACAGCAGGTGTTAGGATGTTCAAACACCAAATAAGAAACTTTTTGCAAGGAATCAAGTTCGCATTAAGCATACACAGTACCTGTGGTGAACGTGCGAACAATCATGCTCCCGGTGTTCTGTGCATTGTCTTAGAAACTGATTGGCCCACACGACGGACATCATTCTTTATGTCCTAGTCTCACCAGTGTCAGACCAGAGAACGCCAAAAGGCGAACCGTACAAAGACAATGCCCGTCTCAGATCATTTATAGTTCGGGGTGAGCAGCTGCATCATGGGACATTTTTTTGCCAGTATCAAAATATTAATTTTCTTTAGGTTTTTACCCTTTCTGGCATTAAAACAGGAGGTGTTAAGATGTTCAAACACCACATCGATACCTTTTGCAGGGAATCAAGTTCGCATTAACCACACACATAGTACCTGTGGTGAACATGCAAAAAAAAACCAAACATGTTGTGATTATAATGTAAGCATTCTTTTTTAAACTGATTGGCCTACACCAGAGACGGTCTACTTTAGGGCCTGGTCTCAGCAGTGCCAGGCCAGAGAACGCCAAAAGGCGAACCGTACAAAGACGATGCCCGTATCAGATGATTTATAGCTCGGGGTGAGCAGCTGCTACACGAGACTTTTTTTTGCCAGTATCACTTTTATTGCCAGATAAGGGTAAAGCCTATTCTTATTTTTCAAACTAGTCTTTTACTTTACCAGTTAAGGCCCCACTGAGCTATGTAGCTCTCTGTCAGAAGCGACCTGGCTATCACAGGTGATAGCTCAACGAAGTGGCTCATCATCATCGTGTGGAAATGTACAGCAGCCAAATATTCTAAAACACGTGACGTTGATTCTTAACGTGGAGGGACACACTGGAGAACCCGGAGAATAACCCACGTGACCACAGGCAGAACATGCAAACTCCAAATATACAGCAGGCGTCTGGGTCGGGTATGAACCCACGATGTCCTGTAAACCACGCGAGGTAGTTAACATCTGGGCACACGTGCACGCTTCATTACACAGTTCGCCCTCCCGATCTTCTGCGTTCCAATATGAGGAGCTACGTCGTTACACGTTGCACGCACCTGATGATTGCTAAGGTGCAGTTAGTTACTTGAGGCCTGGAATCGAACTCAGGCGGTTGAGGTTGATAGCGTCGTGAGAAGACCGCTGCCCTCAATGCATCTCCTTAACGGTTCGTGCGCTACGCTCCGAACCCGACGAACTGCGTTTCAATGAATGTGTGTTGAACTTCTTTCGCACCGTACGTAGCCAACCGTGCTAACTGGAGGTGCGGGGGGAAGGACAACAAACTAAACACAAAAACCAGTTCTAAAGAAATTAGTTTTCAATCTACATTTAGAGTATTGTATTTGATGTATCTCTATGCACGTGCAGTGCAATAGCGCCGGCTGGTGGACAGCAGCGGCAACTGTGGTGGGCAGACAGCGCACACGCCGGTGAGGGCGTGAGCACGGCGCGTGTTGGCAGGGCGAAGGAATTGGGGCGAGGGTCACGGAGGACCCCGTCTGGAGACCGCTGGAGCCTGCTAGCGGGTTCCAGAAGGGAGGCGCGGTCAGGGCGGAGCCAGGGCCGCGCCGGGAGCATAAAAGGAGGCGAGAGCGGGGAGCTCGAGGCTGCCGGTTCTGGGAGTGGACTCGTGTCGTCGCCGCTGTCGCCGTCGTCACTGAACGTCTTCGCTCGATGTTGCGCTGCCGGATAGTTGCTGGCTGTCTCAGTCAGCGCCGTCAGTGTTAGGCGGCTACTGTTGTGTATCGGCTAGGCTAAGCGGCTGTAGAGAGTGTGCAGGCGAGACTGTGAATGTTCAAATAAAATAAGGTGCACTCCTACAAACCTCGTCTCGGAATCACAGACACTACACATGTATATGGGTATCTATATATCTCTGTGAGTCTCTGTGTGGCTCTATGAGTCTCCGTGCATCTCTATGTGTCTCTGTGAGTGTATGGGTTCACTATGTCGTCCATAGAGGATAGTGCAAATGAGTTTTCAATGTAGATTTAAAAGTGCATAGCTCCAGTGGCTTCCTCATAACGGAAGGAAGAGCGTTCCAGACGGCCGCAGAAGAGCATCTGAAAGCGCGCGATGCGGTGACCGTCTTTGCTCGATGGCAAAAGCCTAAAAATTCACGGTCACGGCTCACATCAGTGGCGAGAGAACCGGTCTCGGGGGAAATCCCTTCACCGACCCACACGCTGACCGGCGTGGTGAAGTATGGCTCAACATAATCCCCAAGGACCGACACTGCGTGGAAGAGGCCTGCATCCAGCAGCAACAACAACCCCACACTCTTCATTTAGGCCCGCGATCATCTTGTGTACAAGTGTATAATTGCTGTACATCGCCTCGGATTGATTAATAGCGCCGTATACATCTACATAAGATATGATGAGCACCTGGTAATCGACACACGGGCAATTAGTGAACGTGTCACGCGAATTAAAACGCGGCCTAAGTTGCTCCTGATTCGGTAGTGATCTCACAACGTTTAAACGGGTGCCACGTGGTGGCTAGGAGATGTTAACTCCCTCACCTGGTATGCAGGTGGTCGAGTGGGGTTCTTTCTCCGGACCCTCCGGTTTTTTTTCCACCATATTTAGAATCAGCGTTGCATTTAGAGTATTTTGGCTGCTATAATTTCCACATCATGATAAGCCACTTCCTTGAGCTATCATTTGTGGCCACGTCGCTTCTGAAAAAAACTACGTATAGCTCAGTGGGCCTTACCTGGTATAATAAAAAAAGTTTAGTTTTTTAACTTGTTTATCGTGATTTGCTTACCTTTCTTATACTTTGCAATCCTGTAGTTTTTTAGTATTGTTTGTTGTAACTTTGTGGCCTACTCGTACTGGACATCTGTGAAAAAGAGCTTCATAGCTCATGGGATTTATCCAGGATCAATGAAGATTCTGATGCCATACTCTTTGGTTCTTTCGGTAAAGTCATGTCGGTGAAGAAAATAAAAAATAAATTAAATCACGACGTTTCGGACACAGACACAAGCGTCTCTCTTGCCTATTTTAGCAACTGTTTTTTTTGCTGTGGTTGTCCCACCTGATGACGGACGCTTGTGTTGTGTCCGAAACGTCGTGATTCAATTTATTTTTTATTTTCTTTACCGAAAGAACCAAAGAGTATGGATCCTCGCAGTCACGAACACTTCAAATCTAGAATTAATTCTGATGCCGCTCTACTACTTAAGGAGCTAGACCAGGAAGCGCTTTCACTCGCGATCTGAGCTCCTGCTAACAACGTGACGATGCCGGATCTAATCTCCAGCGAAACGTCTATTTTAATGCCGTACCGTAACTAATTTCGCCACGTTGACATATTGAGTCACGTGACATATTGATTAATTGGCTGTGTCGGGTGGAGGAGGCTTACGACACGCATTTTTTTATTTTGGCGGCCGTCTGGAACGCTCTTCTGGTGGCCGTCTGGAAGGCTCTTCCTTCCAATCTTAGGAAACCACTGGAACTATGCACTATGGAGCACATAGTGAACAGACAGACTCAAAGAGACACATAGAGATCCATAGAGATGCATGCATAGAGATACATTAAAGACAAGCCTTTAAATCTAGATTGAAAACTCACTTCTTTAGAACTGATTTTTGTGTTTATTTTAGCACGGTTGACAGCGTACGGTGCGAAATAAGTTCAACATACACACCTATACACGAACTAACAAAAAAAGACCCCAATTGTGAATCGTAATATTGGTCGTGAAAGCCTACGGATAAAATTATCCGGGCAGCCGTCTGTGAGTCGACTTTGACTCGGAGGCGTTATAGAGGTGACACGTGGCAGGTGCGTCACGAAGATAGACAGAGATACAGAGAAGAATAGCACTGGCATAAGATAGATTTCAGAAAATGGGATCTATTATTTATTTTTTTTAAAAAATTAGATACGACAAGAAAAATTTGATCCTACAGTGTTACATACGGAGGGAGGCCTGTTCACCGATATGAAGGTGAACTCTGTGAGTCTATGGGTCTGAGTGTGCATGCGACTGACATTTTCCGGAGACTAACATTGCACATATACAGTATTAGCATTGCCCATAGATTAGCATTGCCCATAGACGAACATTGTCCATAGGCTAACCCTGCACATGTACAGTGTTGACATCGCCCATACACTAACATTGCCCCTAGACTAACAATGCCGATAGACTAACATTGACTGTAGACTAACCTTGCCCATAGACTAACATTGTCCATTGCTCATAGAATACACCAGACTAACATTTACTGTAGACTAACATTGCCCATAGACTAACATTGTCCATTGCTCATAGAATACACCAGACTAACATTATTCATAGACTAACATTGCCCATAGACTAACATTGTCCATTGCTCATAGAATACAACAGACTAACTTTGCCCATATACTAACATTGAATTTCTAAAGTATTAACATTGCCCATTGGCTAACATTGCTTAATGACTAATATTGCCCTTAGACTAACATTGCCCTTAGACTAACATTGCCCTTAGACTAACATTGGTCAATGACTAACATTGCCCATAGACTAACATTGCCCATCGCCCTTAGAGTCACAACAGACTAACATTGCCCATAGACTAACATTGCCCATCGCCCATAGAGTCACACCATACTAACATTGCCCATCGCCCTTAGAGTCACAACAGTCTAACATTACCCATCGCTCATAGAGT